ATCTCCAAAGTCGAATGGGTTCAGAAAATTGTAGGAAAGTAAACATACTGTTTAACCACTAGGTGGGTGGCCATCACATATGTTACATATCTGAAAATTTAAGTCAGAACAGCTTAAACCGTTCCATATCTAATTCCCAATAGTAGTTCCAAGCTGGGTTAGTATTTTTTTATTAACAAAACCAAAGCTGCTCTTTCCCCCTAAAAAAAAAGGCAGTATATAAATCTATACATGAAAAAATAATGCTTTGTTTTCAAAATTAAAAGCCAGAAAGCCAGATTTTTTTCTAATTTAGGATTCTTTGTTTGCATATGTAAACAGAAAGAGGTGCCCAGTCTGGTTTTTAGAAAGCAAGTTTAGTGTGCAGAATAGGCAGTGAGAACAATCTCATTTGTACCTTCACATACAGCAAATTTGGAAAGAAAAGCACCAGTGGACCAAAAAACATATCGAATACTAAATGTAATTGCCATGATGCCTTCGACGACAGCCACAATCAAAAGATACTCTAAACTTTAGACCCACAGTTTAGCAAACAGCTTCTTTTTCACATCTACTCATTATATAATAAGCCATGGTCATTTAGAGCACTATTTATCAAATTCTCACATTCACAATGATCTGGAGCTACTTTCCACATTACACTTTTAACAAGTCACTAAAAATTCTTTGGGTCACAAGAGTAAAATTAAACATCCTGTCATGGATAATGGTAAATGAAATTGCAATATGTAGTCCTGGGTATAAAGATTAGCTTCACTCCAAAGCATTTCCAAATCAAATAACTTCAAATGATAAACTTTTCTTTAATATTCTTATGGTCAAAGAAATTCTATAATAACTTTAGGGAGAAAAAAACAACAAAATACACTTCTATGCAGTATAAAAATGTTAAAATTTTTTTATCCATAAAACAACAATTATTATTGGGGGTTTACTAACCTACTTAGGATTTTAGAATATTTACTGTCTAATCTTAGCATACTGCACTTTTTAGTTAAATACATAAAATTCATTATAATATCAACACAGATTTTTTTTTACAGTAGCAGCAGCACTCTTAAACATGTAAAAACATGTTATACGTTATAAAACAGCAATAGATTCCACATGCAGTCAAAGTAATCTCAGATTAAAATTGGCATCAAGTTCTAATAAACACATTCACCTACCAAATAGCACTAGAGATTGGACTGATTATTAAAAACAAAGAAGGGAAACAAGTAGGACATCAAACTATCATGTTAAAAAGTGTGTGTGTGTGTGTGTGTGTGTGTGTGTCTGTGTGTGTGTGTGTGTACATAACATTTTTTTCTGTATCTATAATCATATATATATTTTTCTAATAGAAAATCCCAATCAGACCTATGGGAAGCAGAAACACTTCTCTCTTTCTCAGAACTGCTTTCATTTTGACCCAAATTTGCTGGCTTATTTGAAATGATTTTACCTTTCTCATTACAAATTCATTTGAAGTAAAACTGTAGAATCTTCAAATCTTTAGAGCATCAAAAATTATTTATCTTAAAAAAATAGATTCCGCCGTTATTTAATTTTATATTCTATTTCTTTTCTTTTGTCATTCATTCATTTGGTGTTAAATTTTACAAATTTAGTCTAATGCCAATCAGTGATCTGCCTGGGAAACTTGCCTTAGCAGGCAGATGTCCAGATCAAAAAATAACCCATCTTCATAGAAGAAATATACACAAACATTTACACATCATACAAACTAAGGTTGAAATGGGTGGGGCCACTTGATGGACATCCATTTGTCACTTTCATTGGAAAATTTCATAGGCAGCTTCCAATACCCGCAGACAAATTTAGATGAATGGAAGCGCTGACTAACGATGCCATTATCTATATACCAAATATAAATGAAATCCTGAAAGTCCTGAGTCATTCACATGAGCTACTAAAATAACAAGGGAGGGGAACTCAGAATAATGATAACAAAATGTCTTGAGATGGAAATTAATAAAAAGAAATAGCAGTCAGATAAATAAAAAGATAATATATGCTTGGTTTCAGGAAAGAGATCTAAATCTAGTAAAGGGGCTAGTCTTATGAATTGTAAAAAATTGCATTATGTACGATCCTTTTTAGCAATAAAATTATTTTAACCATTAGTAACTCAGAGTTGTTATTTTAGGAAAATGAAGTCAATACATTTGTTTTCCTGAGGCAGGCAGGGGCAGTATTGTGCTATTCATGAACTTCATTAATATTCATTAATTTTTAAAGCAGTTTGGTTAGCTTTGGCCATTATCTGTACAGATATTTTACCTTTAAATAAAAATAATTACAAGAATTTTATTATCTAAAAATGTAATAGCATGAAATTCAAAACCTATGTTTCCAGTAGAAGACAGTCTTTGTAGGAGGGTCTATGTTTTTCAGAAGGGTTTGTTTCAATCGAATTCCTGAGGTAAAAATCTAAAAATTATAGTGACTAAAATAACCTAAATGTAACCAAAAGTAAACTGAAAATACTTTTTTAAAAAATGTTCGAATTAATTTCCACTTAAAAGAATACCACAGTTGACCCAATTAGCTCTGCAAACGTATTTGGTTGTTTGACATTCTTTAGGATTTCACAGCAGACTATTTTCACTCGTCCAGCACCTTAGATCCCCAAAGATCCCAGTGCACATTTAGCGATATTTACCTTATGAAGTAACTAAATCCAGATGAGCATAGAGCTCACATCACTGTAAAAAGAAATTGTTTCCTCATGTTTACAGCTCCCATTCCGGGACTAGAAACTGAAAACTCTGAAAATGATCCTCGTGCAACCAGGAAATTGTGCACAGAAATGCAAAATAGTTTATTTGTAAATAAGCCCAGCCATAGTAACCATATGAAACTGTGCTCCGCAGAAGTCCTCCAGCCTTTGTAAATCAGGCTCTCCAGATTAACTAGGACAGATTAACAACCAGGGCAAATAATTCATGCACATGGAGTTGGAAATGGAACCCTCCACATGTTCTTCTTGATTCATGTCCACACTGAGGTATAACAATGTTGAGTAGTACTTTCTGGAGAAAATAAATAAGTGAAAATTAAAATACCACCCAAAGAAGTCTGAATAATTCAGGGAAATATTTGAGGCATGGCAAAAGGGAAAATTAACTATAGCGAACAGCTAAACTTCCAAGAAAATAAGTCCCTTTGTGTGGATTTATTTATTTATTTACTTACTTACTTATTTTTTAAAGGACTGCCTGCTCTATAACTGTATTTGAATCTATTTGATTTGTGTTTGTCAAAAGTACTGTCTAGTCCCTGAGAAACACCTCAGTGGCTTTCCTTTGGATTTTGTTTTTGGCTTTTTGGTTTTGTGTGTAAAGTAAACTGGCCCCTTAAGACTAGTACAATTTTCCTGTTTAGAGTAGTTTGAAAAATAGGAGAAAGCAGCTTGCTTCTTGTTATCAAAGATACATGACTACTGAAATAATTTTTCTAAAAACATGATTACTAACAGATGACCAACAAGAAAAGTAAATTCAGTACCTGGCTCTGTAATTGGGGTAAACCTGCCTCCCCACCCTCACAATATCATAGTGAGATAATAGGTAGCGGTCACTTCAGAGATATTTATTCACTTTGACTTATTGTTGAAGAGTAGAGAAGAATTTTGCTGCACCCACAAATGGACAGATTTCCAATTCAAGGTATCATGCTTTGGGTTGGCCACTCTAGGGGTAGTGAACTCTCTCAGCCGTCCATATCTGCTTTGACATTTCATGGGGAATACTGCAAACCTGTCTCTGATTTTCCTAGGTCTGAATGCAGTATGTGGCCTTCCAAACTAGACATAAAGTTAATGTTGGTGTTCCAGATCCTTCGTGAAAACCTGTGGCCCCCCAGTGGTATTACTTCATGAATGCCTAAGGTCACAACTCTGCAAGTCAGGCCTTGTCCTCTCTAGCAGTTTGAGCGGGACTGAACGTGTCTGGATGAAAGTACAGAATATAAAGTGTTAATCAAGAGTCCCCCAACACTGGGGGGCTGGGAGGACAGCAGGAGCATCTAAGCGCGGGGAGCAACTGGAAACCACAAACGCCCAAACTGGGTAGAGCTATTGAACTAAATCCGGAAACCCAGCTTAGGAAAGGGAGTCAGTTAAGTTTAGACCTAATGGTACAATCAAGATATCAGAACAGACCTATTAAAAACAGAAAAGGTGGTAATGACATCCCTGCCCTCAAAAGCAAGGATTTCTTTTATGTTGCAGTTGAAGCGTCGAAATACAGTTTATGACTCTAATGCCCTTTATTCCGAAAGAACCCTGAGGTTTCTGTACAAATGTCCTGCAGGAGTGTAGACAGCCTCCCCCCACTCACCACCCACCCCCCGTCGCCAGCACACGCACGCCTTCGGCTTTGCCTCGCCACTACTTCAGGTAACCTTTGATGAGGGGTCGGGGGACGCAAATCAACAACCTTCGCCCCTGTCGGTGCATCCTGCAAACCCTCCGCAGCCAACAGGCTGTAGGACCAGTTCACTGCACTTCAGCCCCAGGCCCCTCCCCCGCTCCCATGTGCCCATCACCAACCGCCCGCATGCCCCTACACAGCCCCTTCCCCTCTTCCTGTCCAGGGGGCCATCCCTTATCTCCCCCAGAAACCCGCGGGCGCTCTCCGCGCCCACCAGCAAATTCCTAACAGCCCCAGGCTTCCAGGAAAGCCAAAAAAAAAAACCAAACCAAAAAAAAAAAAACCACCATGACATCACGGGCAGGTTTATTTGGGTTTGTTTGTTTGCTTGTTGGCTCGATTAAATACTCGTGGAAGGTGAACGTACCCCACACAGGAGAAGTTTGATGTTGACAAACTTCTGGTGGCAGCGAGACTGTGTCAGCACAACTTCCGGGATAATGAGAGCTGCTTTGCAGGGAGCGCGGCAGCAGCGGCGGGAGGCGGCCGCAGGACGGAACAGCAAATGCTATTCAGCCCGAGCAGTTTCAAGCCGCCCGAGCTGGGGAATTACTGTAGTCGAGCTACGGCTCTTACCACCGGCGCTGGATCTGGGCGCGCGTTAGGGGGGGAAGCTGCAGGCACAGGGCGCCGAGAGGAGAGCTTTCAAGTTACTTTGCTCCATCTCTGCACCCGGCTGAGGCTTGCAGGCTGCGTGGTAACTACAAACATCTTGTTCCTTGCTTCTTTGGGCGGCCGCCTTGGAGCCAACCAACTTTTCTCTCCCCCCAAAACTCCCTCTTTGTTTCAAATAGGACTCTCCAAAATTTATTCTTGGGAAGACTGACAGCCGGGGTCAAGAAACAGCTGTTGAAGTTAATGTTTCTTCCTCCCACTTCGTCTGATGGCTGTGCCCTGCCAAGACAAAGTGAGAGGCACTGCCTGGTGGCTTCTTTAAACAGACATGCATTGAGCCCCCCAAAAGGGGGGCGGATTTTCCTGCTTAACATACAATCTGATCAGAAATGCAACAGCATGTGCCTTTCAACTTGTGCTGATTACTTGCCGAAAAGATGCTGCAGCTTTTAGTTTTGAACACTTTGAGCATTGGGGGAGGGGATGGCGGGAGAAGTGGTTGACAGTTTCTACTTTTTGGTAAAAGGGCAAAAATTTTAAACCTTCCTCTGACCCATCACTCACCTTCTAAGAATGGTAGAATAGCCTGGTGGAGGGAGAAAAGAGTTGCATTCCTTCGCCAGGTTTAATTCACATTTCAAAATTCAATCATTATGTAGAACAGGGGCTTGCCTAGAGCTAGGCACATTGTTTTTCATTTGGAGTCTAAAGCCAAACCTTGATGGTGCTGCCAACTCTTGGTGGCTCCCAGTGGCTTTCTCCAGATTAGGCCTGCCTTCTCTTCCTTTCCCCAGTCCAACTCCTTGTTTGCCCAGAGGACATACTCTGGAAGAAACTACCCTGTTCTTTCTGCTGCTTTCTCCAGGATTAAGGCTGGTTTTAACATAGTCCTTCCTCAGCTCTGCTTTTTAGAGTGCCGAGTGGGCTGCTGATGGGCCTCTTGGGGTTGTCCTTCTAAGTCTCCATCTCCTGACTGAGCCCTCCCCAGGTGTCCAGCCTCCATAGTCTGAGGTAGGCTGATGGGAACTCTGTTCTTCCATATCAGAGAGTTTAACCACCCTTCCAACAAACCCATTCTCCATTGCGAATGCTCAGCTCTCTTGGCCTCTCTCAGACACAATCACATGAAGACATAAAAGGCTCTTCTTCCACATTACCAGGTTATCTCGTCACCACATCGCAATGCGGTGCCATCACAAAGTGATATTGCATCAGGCTCAAGGATATTTTAGGAAGCTCTGGAGCTGGGTCCAGCAAGCCTTCCATGCAGGCATCAGGCCTACACTGCCAAATGAGGGCTGCAGAGCTGCTGGACAGGTGGCAGTGATGCTCTCTCTATTCTCAGCTCCATTACCCACTTGCTTCCCCAACCCCCGAACCAGTCAGATTCGTTTGGTGGCTTCCCACGCCTCTCTTTGCCTTGCTTTCAGATGCTACCACCTTTATTTTTCTTCGTGTCTCTGCAAAATATTTTGGTCCACCTTCTGATGTATTTCCTGTTTTTCTGCCTATCATAGTCAGTCGCTGAGGCCTTAATTAGTATTTGTTCTTATTAACTATAAATCAGCTGAGTTACACTTGGAGTTGCAGTGTCTGCCGCACATACAGCCTCCAACTTGGTTGTCTGCAGGCCTGTTTGACTGGGTGAACTTTTCTCATTCTTCAGACTCTGGATCACCCAGCAGGTTGGCACAATGGCAGTGGCCAAGAATCAGTGCACCACTCTCAGCAAGCGCCCCCTTCTCTGAGTCCTGCTAATGGAATCCAGCAGCCAATTGACTTAAATTCCTTCCGCTTTATTGTTCTCAGTCCTTAGGCCAATGCTCAGCATCTAGCAGGACTGTGAGGCAGACCTCCACTGATCCTAGAGTTGTAATTCCCCACTGCTGGCTCCTGCAGTTTTATTATGGCCTCTTTTTTTTTTTCCCTAAGATTGACAGACATAAACCTCCAGTGTGGAGGCCAGCAACAGCACCCTTAAAGGCTTCTTTGTGTGGAAATGTAACCTTAGGGCGAAGTCGGCCTGGCTCCAGGAAAGGCACATTACCCTGCTACAGGGATGTACTGTGCTGGGACAAACTTCAGGATTTCTCCTTCTGGCTGGCTACCTGGGATCCTCCCAGGGACAATGCTTTCTTCCTCTAAGAATTTTTTTGTGGAAGGACTTTGAGAGATTGGGAATACTATAAGAGGAGGCCTGTAGTGGCTGTCCACGGAACTCTTTATATAATCAGAGCGATCGGTGTCCTTCCTTCAGTGAGTGGATCTCTAAATGCAACCACAGGTCAGGGCGTTGTCCCCGGTGGGGTGGGAGGTGGCACCATTTGCTCTTCTTGTTGCTGATGCTACTACCATGCCCAAAAGGAATGTCTTTGAAATACTTAGAGGATCTATTTATGCAGGCGTTGGGTTAGACAAATTACTCTGGAAAGCGGGGTAAAAAGATACAGAATCTTAATTTATCATTCAGGATTAAAGTCAGATTTAAATCAGGTAGAATTATTAAGAGATTTAGAGCCAGTGTCTTTTTCCAAAAGAAGAAAGGACCAAAGAATCCTCTTTGTTGAAATATAATGATGTCAGGAATATAGCTTCTTGTGTTTGGAGTTTCTTTTTTTTCCTCTATTTTTTAAGTGTTCACTTATATTTCCCATCAGTCAAATAGAACAGTAATAGAAAATTTGTTTACCAGATACATATGATTAGGCATATGTATCTGTTCCATATAGACAAGTACTAAAAGCAAGAGATGAAGGTATGCACTTGTCACTACAGAGGGCTCCCTGTAGGAACAGGGACTATGCCTGAATTAAGGGGCAGATGAGATATAGCTAGTTAGAGCAGATGAACTTGGAATAAGAACGAGGTAAGAAAGATGCAAATCTAGGTATTTAGTCCCTTAGGCCCAGGAACTGGATTTTTTAGTATAGAGAGGTTAACACAATGCTTTTAGCCAATGTTTTTGGAAAATGTGTTCTCATGGAGTCAAGAACATGGACAGTGAAGGTAATGAAAACAAAGAAATGTCTTTAGATTATATTTGAAATTATAGAATATAGACAGAAATTAAAAAAAAAAAACAAAAACGTGCAATTATTTTCCCCCTTCCCTCTTCCTCCTAAATCTAGGCAGGAGTTTAATTTAGGATTAAAGGGCTCCCTGTTGCTTCTCCTCTAGCTTCTCCTCCAGGTATCCCATCCACACTCCAGTTCTGGTTTTGGGCAGAACTGCAATTGTCTTTAGTAGGGAATTCCATGAACTCCTGTGCTGGTTTTCTAGTGTGGGAAAATGTCAGTTGGGAGGCTAAGACCACCAAACTAGTTTTCATTATGACCCAAGGCACACTTAAACCCAGCCCTTCAGTGGTAGGCAACTGGCCCAGCACACTGTTCTCGCAGTGCTCATTAAGATGTTATTTATATTTTACAGTATGGTTCCAAGCCATAAGTTGGGATTTTATCTTGGCAAATAGGAAAAAAAGTACTCGTGATATCTGAACCTGCAAAGTTTTAACTTCTACTATAGAACTGGTAGTGATTTGCAAAATAAGGTCATAGCAGTGGAGAAAGATCTCCCCATTTCTGTTCAGAGGAGTTGGTGGGAAAGTAAAGAACAAATGAAAAACGCATGGTCACAAAATTAAACTGATTAGTCAAATAGATTTTAACCGTTATCTTCCTCTTAAAAGTGAATTTAATTTTTGCAAAAGTACAAAATCAACAACTCTGATGAAAGCACATTTTATACTTTGGCCCAGAACCTACGGAAAAGGTGGTGAGTCCATAACTACGCTCAATCTCCTTGCCTTGGAACTTTCATTCACGTGACTAGAATTATTCCAGATCAAAACAGTATCATTAATCTCAGTCAGTTATAGGTGAACCAAACTGTCTGGATTCTTACTTCAATAGACCAAATTAAATTAACATTTTAATGATGTGTTTCTGGCATTGTTCATACTTCATAAAGAGTAACTCACTTTATTTGACTCAAGGCAACAAGGCTAAACAAGTGATTCAAAAAAAATGGATCTTTTCCAGGTCTGGAAATTAAGTTTCCTTGAGTTCTTCTGAGGCAGCTAAGATTCTCAGAATCTACAAGCCCAGCTCTATGATGCTACCATCTTTCCAAGACAACCATTAAAACTTACAGCTAGAACCAGTCATGCAAATAATTTTTTGCAACAGCCTCATGAAGGCCAAATGAAAATTAGAGGCCGTCTCTCCAATGGCAATAAGCCAAACATCTAAGATCTCTGGAGATGCCTGACATCTTGCCATGTTGTCATCACATTCATATCCTGGATAAGGTATTCTCGTCTGTATTTCACTGACTACCAGTAAGGGGCATGTGCAGAATAATAAATGATTCAACTTTTAGTGCTCCCGTTAGAACCTAACATGTCTAACTAACAACATTTCCGGGTAGAGGGTATGGGGAATGTACATCAAAGATGGTATCAGCTCTTCACCCATCAATAGCCTGATGATATCATGCTAAGGAGCCACCATAATTCTGTGGTTTATAAAATTCTGAGATTATTGTGATTACTATATGGAACGCTCAGCTGACAACAATGAGCCCTTTCTCAGCTGCAGAATGCTGAACAACGAGGTCAACTACAGAGGATTTTTTTAAAGCAAAATTTAGGGGAAAGCAACCACTTCATGGACCCAAGAGAGTTTTTGCTGCCAACTAGCAATCTCAGACCCTAGCAGTTAGTTACACAGTACATTTGATTTCAAAAAGTGCTTGCTCCTCAAAAGATTATAGTAATATAACAGTTCCTTTCTTTTTTTTTTCTAACCAACAGGTGAAACTAGAAAGTGTCTTCCCATCTCTGTTCAAAGAAGTCACGTGCCAGTTTGCAAAGAAATGCTTGTCTACACAGGGAATCTTCAAATTTGCACGTATATCAACAGGCCTTCAACATCATGCATCTAATTGTAATCTAAATATAAATATAATCATGCAATTCTCTAAATATAATCATGCAAATTAATAAATGCCATCACCTTTCAACGCTACTCTAGCAGTTGACTTTCTTTCAGGGCCATTTTTCACAAAGAAACAAAGTTATTATCTCTTTGAAGTATTTTTGCAGATTTGATAGAGAACCATAGTTTAGATGTGAATATCAGGTGGATGACTGGGCCCACTTACTAATCAAGTGATTTGTTCTCAGACAATAATATTTGAAATTCTGATGCTTGCTTCAACAAAACTGCAGATTATTATTTTTCATCAACCTTTGAGGTTGTCCATAAGTCATTGCAGTGTTCAATATCAAGTCTTCACATTATTAGAGGTAGAGAGAACAATGAAGGAAAGAATTTTCCTTGTGGGATTTTATTTTCCACAAGTTATTTTCCTATAGTTCGTGATGTTGAGAATACTTTTTAGAAATTTTTCAAAGAGATGACTCCCATCAATTTTCATTAAAAAACATATTTTTGCATTTCATGTACTATCCCAAGAGTGGTTGTAATAAGCTGTTTGTTTTCACTCTGCAACAAGAGAAGTGACCTACTGTCTTGTATTTCATAATAACCACAGTAGTGAACTAAAACCATTTTTCCCTATATTTGGTTTTTCTATAATACAATTTTGTGATCGAATACATATAAACTTTGCCTAAAAGATCAAATTATTTTTTTCTTTTTAAAAATGTACATTTTTAGTTTTTAACTCTTCATTAATGTGTCATAAATCCAAGCTAACTTCTAATGATAGTTAAATCATACTTTCTTTGTATTTCAAAGAGTTCTAAAGATCAAGTTGGTACAATTAAATTGTAAACATGGCACACTACGTTATCACTGTAAATTATGCTATATAGCACATATAAAGCACTTTTACTCTAGGTATTGAATATGCCATGCATAATCCATAACTGAAGTATCTGAATGGCAAATTTAAAAAAATAAATGATTTTTGTTGCAGCAGAATTCAGAACCCAAAGCACCTCTGATTATCCACAGTTTAGGCAGAATGTAGGCAGAAGAGAACGTGTTACTCTGCCAATGTGCTTCAACTCTGCCCTAAAGGAATAATTTCCAGGAGTAGAAAGAAAGACCAAGTCTACAGAAATCTTGGCAACCTCTTATCCAGGAAGACTACAGAGATTTCATGGATATTTATTGTTCAGCGGAAGGTATTACCTTTCTCCAAATTCCATTTATGCAGCTGGTTTCCTCTTTCCTCCTGGAGTAAACTTCACAGTAAGTATATACATTGATTAGTACTCTTGCTGTAAACTGCAATGAGGATGGAGTACGGTCATAAAAATTAAGAATGCAATTTCTAGAATCACAAGTGCCAAGTTCAAATCCTGGTTCTGTCCTTAGCAGCAGTGTTGATACCTTGAGTCGGTTTCAGTTTCCTGGTTCATAAAATGAGTCAGAAGATTAAAAAAAATACATACCCCACTGCTCGCCATCTCACTTCATTAGTATCCCCATGAAAAAAATCCCCTAAAACTCATAAGATCTGGATGAAGCTCCATCCGGCCTTTGAGCCAATCTATGAATTTCCCTGCCAGTGGAGGAAAAAGGGTTATTTTTCTCTGAAGGTTAATATCTCATGCTCAGTGCTGACTCTCATCTAATGCTTGACCCAAAGAATCCTAAGTGGAGACAAAGACTGAAAAATCAACTAGTCAATTTCTCCATCTTCACACAGTTGTAGCAGACCTTGGTCACTAATGACAGGTGTTGTTGCCTACCTCATTCACTGAGGACCGTCATAACTTTTTAAACTGACTTTTTGAGTAAAAGCTTCAGCAGTCTTAAAGATCCTTGTATTCCTCTGAGCACTAAGTGCAACACAGTACCTTGAAAATAACAGATTCTCAGCAAATATTTGTGGCTTGATTATTTTGAGGAAGAGCTCTGGGGTGTTTATAAAAAGACAGGTTTATATTGACGAATCCTAATACACCCCTTCAAAATGGTCCTATAAAAGCTCTCCTTCTAGGAGTACACTAATGTAGTGACAGCTGTTTTTCTTTTTGCACATTAATGTTTACACACTAATATAAGGACAGCCGTTTTTTCTTTTCTTTCCTCTTTCTTTCCTTTTTTTTTTTTTTTTTGCTCTGGCCCTATCTTAGCTATACCAGTTAAAAATATTTTTAATTGACTTTTATCATATTTTAAAGTGTAATAAATGCTCATTAAAAATAAGGCTACCGAGATGGGGTTTCCCCATTCCCCACACACCTATTAGAAATGACTGCTGATGGTTTGAAGTATATTCTTTGAGGTTGTTTTCTTTATTTATATTTTTGATGCATATACTAACATTATTTCATAAAATACTATTTTATAAAATACTGTTATACTATTTATAGTCTTTTGGAACTCACTTTTTTTATTTAACAATACATGATGAACATTTTTCCACGTAACACACATCGTTCCTTTTTAGTGCTGCATAGTACAGAAGTTTCTCATTATCTAACTATTTATTAAGCTTATCTGAATCCCAGTAGCTGCTAAGTTGTATAGGGAAGCAGAATTCATAACAGGAAAATGTCCTCTAATGAACTGGCCACTTACTAAATTAGTCCCCACTCATATAGCCCTCCCGACTTAACACCAGCAACTTTTACCACTCAACCAGTCAATTTTGCTAATTGTAGATGTTATAAACATCTGACAATACAATGTAAATAAATTGCATTTCAGTTGCCATGTAAAATTGCTAATCTTGCAAAAGATGCAGGATTTTATGAAGTCATTGAAAGTGATTTTGTAAAACTGTTCCATAAGCAAATGAGTAACTGGCAGTGTTAGGCCAGTTAACAATTAAAGATGAGAAAAACAACAAGGATGATAAGAGGATAAGTTCTTCAAAAGGAGAATTATTTGAATATCAAAGGATTAAGAGAGGCTCTCAGGAAAATTGATGAAGCCCTCACATCTTTTTTCAAAATGACCTTTGTATGATTCTGCTATGAAAGTCAGTGTGAAATGAAGGGTGTCAAAATTTGCTATCAAATAATGTTGTTAGAAAATTATCCCCCTCACCAAATCAACACTTGATTAATCCTTTGTTTATTCTAAAAATTAGAGCATTGTTGCAATTAGAGTTGTTATATGAATATCTTCAAAGATAAATCATATTTAAAGATAAAAGAGTCTTTACTTTTATTTTTTCAAAATAAAGTCTCAATCAAACCTTTCTTTATTAGTCTTTATTTTACAATACTAGACTCTATTTATTACTTTTGCAGCTTTCAACAGATATTATGGCAAACAAAAGCAACAGACGCTGGAAATAAAGCTCCTAATAGACTAATCAGATTCCCTAGTTCTCTCTCCATGAGGAGTTTAAAAGCTGGACAGGCCACTTTACAAGAAGTAAAGCCCCAGGGTGTTTGGGTAATTCAGGAGAGGGAAGAGGCCATAAGAAAGGAGACAGGCAGTGGACTTCCTCTGGCACTAATCCGGCACATAGATGTTTGGGCCTAATGTAATTTGAAAAAATAAAAACGATGTAACCTTATTTGTGTCCAACCTGGTAAAGCAAGTTATACCAGTTAAATGTGGGTATATCAGGATTTATTTTTAGCAGTTATCTACTAACTGATATTTGGGTTGTTTCCAATTTTTTGCTACCACAAGCCATGTGGCAATGAAAAATAGTGTACAAATATCTTGGTGCATTCATACAAGCATCTCTGAAAGAAAAATTCCTAGAAGTGAAATTCCCAGGGTTGGAAAAAGGTTTGTTAAAAATATTAACAGGCATTAGCAAATCATCTTACCATTTATTGCCACCTTCAACATCTGAGAATGTCTGTTTCTCCACAGCCTTCACAACGAAACTTTTATCATTTTTTTTTTGCCAATCTGATTGTAAAAATATGCTATATACATTGTTGTTTTTATTTTCAATAATATAAATTCTTGACCTGCAAGATAAAGTTTGCTCGCTGCTTGCTTTATTTTTTTTTTTATTTTTTAAAGTAAACCACTATTTATTTTTTTATGGCGACATTGGTTAACGAAATTCAGTAAGTTTCAGCTGTACATTTTAACAATAAGGCACATATATATTTACACTGTGTTCACCTCCCATAGTTAGATTTCTTTCTGTCGCCACATATTTGACTGCTTGCTTTAGAGAGAGACTCATTATAGACTCTGGGAAATCTGCATGATAGATGAGGGGGAGATTATCTCATCCTGGGTAATGGGTAGGAGCTAAAAAATTGAGCTTAACGTGTATTTTTCTGTTCAAAAATCCCTCTTTGAAACTATTGTAGTCATTGCTTACACAAGGTAAAGTATTTATGGTCAGTAGTGGAAGATAGAGAATTATTTTTGCAAATTCCTGATTTCAGGACTCTTGAGATGTTTTACAGATTTCAAAGTATGTGAATAGATAAGGTCAGTAGATCCTGAAACTGGATGCCTTGCATCCTCCAAGCCCATATTCTTTCCAGCTGGATTTTGGTCACAAGAAGTATCAACATTCTAACTAAAACTTTCTTACATATATCGAGGACTTAAAAAAGGAACAAAATATCCATTGAGTATGCATTTGTCACAACCCACCAAATGGTAGATTAAGATGTGTACATTTCACTGCGTATAAATTTTACATGAAAAAGAAACCAGAGAGTGCTCAAAAAACTAAACATAGAATTACCACATGATCCAGCAATTCCACTTCTGGGAATATACCCAAAAGAACTGAAAGCAGAGACTTAAACAGATTCTTGTACACGCATGTTCATAGCATCATTATCCACAACAGGCAAAAGGTGGAAGCAACTCAAGTGTCCATCGATGGATGAATGGATAAACAAAATGTGCTATGTATATATAATGGAATATTATTCAGCCTGAAAAAAGAAGGAAATTCTGACACATGCTACAACATGGATGAACCTTGAAGACATTATGCTAAATGAAAGAAGCCAGTCACAAAAAGACAAATATCGTATGATACCACTTAAATGAGTATGTCAAGTAGTCAGATACATAGATACAGAGAGTAGAATGGTGGTTGCTGTGGG